AATCAGAAGTTTCTTAGGCTATGCAGAATTCTATCGACAATTTATCAAAGATTTGTCAAAGATGGCCAAGCCTTTAAGCAACTTGATGAACAAAGATAAGCCATTTCTTTTTTGTAATGCATGTTTGCTTGATTTTGAAGGTTTAAAAGAAAGATTAATCATTGCACCCATAATCACAACGCGCGATTGGAAACTTTGTTTTGGATTAATGTGTGACGCGAGTGATTATGTGGTAGGTGCAGTGCTTGGACAAAAAAAAATAACAAAATTTTTCATGATATACCTTATGCTAGCAAAGTTTTATATGAAGCTCAAGTGAATTATGCTACCACCAAGAAAGAGTTGCATGCTATAGCGTATTTATTAGAAAAATCCAGGTCTTATCCCATTGGTTCGAAGATTATTGTGTACACTAACCATGCAACCATCAAATATTTGATCACAGAGTCAGACTCAAAGAAAAGACTCATTAGATGGATGTTGTTGTTACAAGAATTCGATTTTGAGATTCAGGAAAAAAGGGCACAAAGAATTCGGCAGCGAACCATTTGTCCAAGTTGGTTAATAATGAGATAACCAAGAAAGAACGTGAAGTCCTAGAGGAATACCCTTATGAAAAGTTACTCATGGTACAATAGAGACTGTGGTTTGTAGATATAACCAATCACAAAGCCACTGATATCGGATGACTTGAACTGGCAATAGAAAAAGAAATTCCTCTGTGATTCAAATCAATATGTTTAGGATGATCCTTATATGTTCAAAATATGAACTGATAATATTTTGAGGAGTTGTGTTACAAAAGAAGAGGCAAGAAGCATCATTTGGCATTGTCACAATTCCTCATATGAAGGTCACTACAACGGAGAAAGGACTGTGGAAAAGTTATAATCTAACTTATATTGGCTTTCTTTGTTCAAAGATACGCATGACCAAAAATGTGATAGTTGTCAAAGGACCAAAGGGTTGTGTAAACAGAATGATATATCCTTAAAAAAACATGCTTGAAGTGGAAGTTTTCGATTGTTGGGGTATATATATATATATATATATATATATATATATATATATATATATATATATATATATATATATATATATATATATATATATATATATATATATATATATATATATATATATATATATATATATATATATATATATAGCCATTTCCTGATTCATTTTCAAATGAGTATATCTTGGGTGGTAGTGGATTACGTTTCAAAGTGGGTGGAAGCAATCGCATCACCAAAAGCTGATAGCAAAACAGTGATCAAGTTTCTCAAGAAAAACATATTCACTCATTTTAGTACTCTAAGAGTATTAATTAGTGATGAAAGGTCGCATTTTTGAAATTTTCAACTAGAAAAAGCCTTTGAGCCTTATGGTGTCAGACACAAGGTAGCATCGTCATACCATTCACAAACCAACGAGCAAGTAGAGGTCTCAAACATAAAGATTAAGAAAATCCTAGGTAGCATCGTCATACCATCGTCAAGGTAGCATCATCATACCATCCACACTTGAATTTTGATCGAAATCAAGATTGAGAGGAAAAAAACGCAGCTGCGTGAATTAGATAAGATGAAGCTTCAAGCCTATGAATCATCTAAATTATACAAGTAAAAGGTCAAAAGTTCTCATTACAAAAGGATCTTAAACAGAGAATTCAAACCATGACAAATGATCTTGTTATTCAATTTGAGGCTCAAACTTTTTCCTGGCAAATCGAAGTCCAAGTGGTCGGACCCTTTCAGATTCAAAGAGGTAATACCATATGGTGTTGTGGAATTAGAGGATCCAAATTCAAAAAAAAGTTAGACAATGAATGGGCAGAGATTGAAGTTATATCTTGGTGGTAAAATTGATCGGCTCACCACTAGAATTCCATTCAACGGTCCTTTAATCTAATTGGAATAACAGTTGGCAGATGCAATTTTCATCTAATTCTAACTCATTGTGTAAGTACTTTTACAAGCAAGATAGTGAAAGGAAAAGTATGGAAGACAAGGAAAAGAATATAAGTTTCATCATGCGCGCTAAGCGAGCTCCTATCGAGCAAGGCAAAGAAAAGTTTAGATGGTGGGGCTTCTAGCACGCTTGAAGCGAGCAAAGAAGGAAAATACAAAGAGTTTCACTTCTAGCGTGCTTCAAGCGAGAGAACTTTAAAAAATCCAGAGAGTTATGCTTCAAGAATGCTTGAAGCGAGAGAAAGAAGAAAAATTGTCTAAGTTTTCAAAAGCATGGCGCGCTTAACGTGGTTGTAGCGAGACCTTGCTTAACCTGACTTTCTGGGGCTAAGCGAGATAAGATGGTTTAAAGATGTTGATGTGTCAAATTGCTTTATGGTGAAGAAAGGATGTGGCGCTTTGTGCGGCTGGATGGGGTTTAGCGTAAGTGTGATTTCAAGTAGATACCACTAAGAACATGAAATTGGGGATCCTTTTCACTTCTGTTACATTATTTTATTAGTTTTTAGAGAGAGAAACTTTGGCTTGAGAAGAAAAAGTGAGATCTTGAAGAATTGACAAGCTTATAAGTTAACGAAATATAATCTTGACAAGCTTATCTATCTGTCCATTTTCTCAAACATCTTTCGTTTTACATTCCTTTAATTTACGTAATCGAAATCCTGTAAATCCTTCACTTAAAATCCTATTAACTGTTAAACGTCAGTGATATCACACTAGTTATCGTGGATACTAGAAACAATACTTACTTTTGATTACTACGAATGAAACATAAAAGAAAGCCACCAATTTCCTCATGGTTTTTTTTCCTGGGACAAGTTTCCGAGTTGTAAACATAAGAACTAGTGTCTACGAATAAATGACTTTGACGCTAGAACTTAGAGAATTTTCCTGAACATCAAAAAGGCAACTCAAACTCTATGTTGTATAAGCTATTGTGAGTCACCTCAGTAAGGGGCGTAACCAGGTAATACTAGTCCTTGAAGTTCTTCACGCTCTCAGAGTAAACCTTAAACATCTTACTATTATGCCTAAGAGAAATGAATCCTTGACCCCACACTAAGTCGACGAAGCTTCTTTGGGCTTTAAACTGATGAAAAAAGAGTGCCAGGGTTGCCACACTCTTCCTTTGCTCGCACTAATATTATAATACTTTGACGTAAGTCTAGCTCACCAGGTGAACTTGTGAATGAGCTATTGCTAGGTAATTTAGAATACTCACCTCAAATTAGTTAAAATGAAGACGAAAACCTATCAGAGAAAGTAGACGCTCAATGGAAGGGATGTTACACCATACATAATTGTTGCATATTCTCTTATTTCCTTCGGGTGAAACACCCTTAATTTGAAGAAGGACCTACCTCAGTAAATGCATGCTACATACCACCTTTGCATGTGAAGGCGGAGATGATATTCAACGTCTCTTGATCTATCCACAGTGTTGGGTTGTCTTTTATCGAGTCTCATGCTCTTGAGCTAGAATTGTCTATTTAAAAGTCCTACTAACATATAAAGGGAAAAAACCATAAGTAAAAGCACAAAGGTGATATAAAAATAAGTTTCTTATCCTTGTCAAAAGTCATCTATGGCAAAGGCTTTCGTAAGGGTTAGAAACCCTAACAACTTCCCACAATAGGTATCGCCATCTAACGTCCCACCATCGATGATAAGTTTCTCTTCCAAAATCCCAAATTATCTAGAAACTCTAGCAAACAAACAAATGAAGAAGGAGAGAAAGCTTGCTCATTAAACACTTCTCTAAAAGAGGTGGCACAAGTCGATTGAAGCAATAAAAAATCGAATGATGTAAAAAAAGAGGAAGGAGGTTGTAAATACAGAAGAAAAGTCCTCAAGATCCAAGAGCAACGAAAAGGAAATGTTGTAAGTTTAATGCTTTCCACATATCTTACAACAAAGGCGAGCATACGATCCACAATAATAAATATTGGGGAAGCGCGAATGCACCACAAACGATTGAGATCTTACTTCATATTGGTTAAAACACTTGAATACCCTAATATAAGAAGGCGTTATTGTTGCCAGACATAGGGCCACACATTGAAGTTCCCTTGCTAAATGTTGCTAATCACGATTAAGACATATAATCCGTCTGTTCCCAATGTTACTAACGTTCCATGGAAGCTCTTCCACTTCTTTCTACTGGAAACCAGACTAAAGACATCTTCCTTTTACGAATATAAATAAGGGCTTGAGGGACAACTGTTCTGAACCGTTCACGAGACCCACCACGAAAGACCCAACCGTAAGCATCGCGCGGAAAAACACGAAGAACATATGAAATTTCACGTTAGTCGATGATGACACGTGATTCCAACCTCCAACACACTTTCTACCATTAGATATGATCGATCGGTCACCTGCATAAAATACGACACACGTCATTTCAGATATTCTCTCGTTCACAAGTTCAAACTATTTTTTCACTCATTCACTAACTTTAACTTAAACGTTTATGTCTAATTCCTTATCATAACATAAATATTCTCTTTAGAAAAAATACATCACCTTTGGATCAAGATTGTAGCTACCCAGCTTCTCGAAAATCCACTTTTTCTTTTGTTGGTATAAACGCAAACTCCACTTTACCCGAGGGCACAAAATACTTTTTTTTTACTATTGAGAATTGGAGCACGTACTTTTAGAAATTATATATTTAAGTATTTATTGGAATGATGAAATAAAACTTAAATTGAATATTTTCAATGCATTTTAGATATTGACTAACTGTACCCACGTTTTTAGTGGATAAATAAAAATTCTCTTATCTTATAACATATACTTTGAGTTTTTGTTGCCTTTCATTGTTTTGTTTTTAGTTTGGTTGTCCTTTCTTGGAATTTCCTTGAACCAGGTTGTTACGTAAACAATTGATTGCTTTTTTTTTTTTTCTTTTTTTTTAATTTATAATAAAAAGAAACTAAATCTATTATCTTTTGTGACTTCTATTTATTTATTTTGATTTGATTTTGTGAATAGATTGAAGTTGTGGATCTTGAGCTAATAGCTATGGCTTCATCTCTGTTACTTGCTGTGGTGTTTGTGTTTGATCTCATTGCTTTTGCTCTCGCTGTTGCTGCTGAACAAAGGAGGAGTACTGTGAGTCTCATGTTTTCTGAACTTTTCCTTTCATTTTGCTATTGCTTTTTTTGTAATCTCAACCTTATATTCAAAAACTTATAATTTAAGTGGATTTGTAAGAGATTAACCGGTGAGTCCATTCAGTGAAAGAACCTGTAGGGAACTAGGAGAACTACTATCTAAGTTTGTTAATAAATTGAGCTATTTGTGAATTATTTAAGTTTGACTCATTAAGTGCCCAATTAAACTCACTGACTGAAATAAACAAACAAATTTAGGTTTGAGATTAGACTTATTACTCCTCCATGTATAATGAATTCTAACCAAGCACTTGGGCTTGAGCTCGAGTGGTAAACGAGCTCTTGTTAAGGAACCGTGTTAGATTCCTGATGGAAATGACGTGCAACAAAGCTGGTGGTATGGCAGAATTTTGGATCTTCGCCGTAGATTTCCATCTGCCATCGACAACACTGATGTAATGATGAATTAATTGGGTGGAAGGGTCCTTAGAGTCAATTTCTTCATTGTACACTACACTGTTAGCTACTAGTACAATACAACATTTTTCTGCATGGTAGACTCAATATTCTCAAATAGAATGTAGCAGTAATTATTTGTTTTTGTAATAACAGGCCAATTTAGCCGAAAATATTGAAGGAAGAAAATATTGTCAATATGATTCTGACATTGCCACCGGCCTAGGTGTTGGGTCCCTCTTTATCCTTGTTGCCAGTCAAGTCATCATTATGGTTGTAACTAGATGCTTGTGCTGTGGGAAACCCATGGCACCTAGTGGATCCAGATCATGGGCAATTTGTTTATTCATCACTGCATGGTATGTTTTACTACTTTTTTTAGATTAATTTCTATTCATTCACAAAGTAAATTTTGTTTTCACATCAAATTCTACGTAGCAATGATATATCTGAACAAAGATGTGTCTAGTGTCCTATACTGACTTGGCACCAATATAGTCAATCATAAGATCTTAAATACGATCGCCCGGCTTGTGAAAGATGGTAAAACTCGAATTATTAGCACGACACATAAGATTCTACCGAAAGAAAAAATGGTAATTTCTTCATATAGCACGTTTTTTTACAATCTTGCTTCAAAAAGCTCGATCTTGACCACACCAACGACTAAAATGATGTTTCTCTGATTGTAGCACTCTGAGGCATCCTTAGCACGTAATATCTTATGAGCTTACAATCCAGCATTCGATCTTGACTACACTGCCTAACACCGACACATGTAATTACGTTCGATTTTTTCAAATTATTTGTTGAATATGGCTAGAGATTATTATGGGTAGTTAATTAGGGTGCGGGGGTTTTAGTAGTATTATTATAAACTTAGCCCTAATATTGTATGATATTATATGTATTGCTTGTAACACTGTAACCCTGACGAACCTTAATTATTAGACAAAAATAAAGGAAATTATAGTTGCTCTATAGTCGCAGAGGTAGGCACCATTGGTCGAATTATGTTAACAAAAATCAATTGTGTTCCTTGTCTTTTACTTTCGTTTCTCTATAATCATCTATACTGGTTATTGTTCTAAGATTATTATTGGTGTCAACATGTTATTGTGGGTGTTGTATTGGGTGTCCATTTCTGAGTAGGCGATTCATAGATCAAATCATATTATAAAACCACTTTGCCATATTAGTTCTTAAAATATGTCCACAAATATATACATGATAATATGATTTACCAAGGTTACAAGACCAAACTAGGTGTTTGCTTTTGTTTTCCAATTCCTAAAGAGTGATATTGATGATTTTCAGGTTGACATTTTTTATTGCTGCTTCATGTCTTCTAGCTGGTTCAGTGAGAAATGCTTACCATACAAAGTATAGAGATCTAATGGGAGAGAGAGCACCTTCATGTCAAACCTTAAGGAAAGGAGTATTTGGAGCTGGAGCTGCTTTCATTGTTCTTACAGGCATAGTCTCTGAGCTTTATTATGTTAGTTTTTCAAAAGCTAATAATAGTGGAGTCCCTTCCTATGCTAGAGACACAGGTGTGACAATGAGCAATTTGTAAACTTAATTAATGCAATGTGTCCCACTTTTAGGACGGGTTTGGCTTACATGGAGTCATGGATGTGAATTGTGAGAGTCTATTTGTAATTATGAAGCTAGTTTGAAAAAAAGCCCGTTTAGGCTATGCTTATGGTCTCTATATTTGGATTCCTTTGACTCTTAAATCATGTCACAATAGATGGTTTTCATTGCATCCTATGAATGAGATTGGAGAGTAGGGTGGTTTATATTTCATTGTTGTTTTGACTTATTGAACATCTAATCTTATACTAAGATTATGGTATAACATATTAGGTTAATCATGACCATCATAAATTTTTAAAGGTACTGTGTAGATTAGTCACAATTCAATTGTGACAAAATAAATTGGATTTTGAATTCTGTGTGGTAGTCTGTCTTGCACAGTTTAACCGTGATGGATTTTATGAGACTCTCTTTAGTCACAATTTAACCGTGATGAGTTTTGAATCCGATGCGGTAGTCTGTCTTGCACACCCTCAAAGACGGCTCTGATAATAACATTAACTATCTAGAGATAGAGATGTTGTGCTGATGTTTAGTGGTCCAAACCAACTTGGAACGTGACTCAAAGTATTGAATATTACTACTAGTTATAAATAGACTAGAAAAGCACGCTTATGAATCTGATCAAGATCATTGTGGCTACTTGTTAAGGTAGTGTTTGAATCCTCACATCACATGCATAAAGTACAAAGCTGCAATTGTTTACCAATGGTACTTTTTAATTTATTGTTTTGTGGGGAAACTTTGTGACTAAAAAGAGCTCTACTAATATTGTATATTGGTCCATGGCTGCCTCTTCACTCATCAATAATACAAGAAACGACAATCACTCAACAATCCTTCAATATATGGTGGTCCAAATATACCTTACACTATTCACTATTCTATTTCAATTGAACTAATTCTCTATTTAGATCAATTACTTGAACTAATATTTCAGTTTGAAGATGTGTTTGGTGTCCAACACGTGTCAATGTGAGTATCGCATTTGGTGCACACTCCAATAACAAAATCATTTCTTTCTCTTTATAAAAGCTGTCGACGTGTTAGTATCGTATCATATGTTCGTGTTTGGTACACTAACACTCCAATATCAAAAATATTCTCTCTCTTTATGAATGGTGTTAAAATATCAATATTGTATAAAAATCATTTTTTTCTCTCTATGAAATATATATGAATGGTGTCAACATGTTAGTATCGTATGAGATGACTATGTTTGGTACACCGTCACTCCAATATCAAAACCATTCTTTTTCTTTATGAATGGTGTCGACGTGTTAATATCGGTTGAGTTTTAAGTGTGAGAGTGCTAAAGTCTCACATCGACTAGGAAAAAAAGGAAATGTTGAGTTTATAAGAGAGACGACTCATACCTTAATTACCTTAAAATTTTGGCTCAGTGGGAGAGCGGAGGTAAACTCTAGTTTAGGTTAAGGCTAGTGATGTGAGTGACTTACACTTGAAGAGATATTGTAAGGTTTCAATTTAAGTTTTAAAGTGTTAAAATTCCTCATCAACTATTTATCTCTATAATTAATGTCGATGTGTTAGTATCGTGTTAGCTATTCATCTTATATTAATGTTATAAGCAGGCATAATAGTGATAGTGAAGGTAAAAATATTAATAAACAACTATGCAACTAGTATTTTTTAAACCTTGGATCAAAGAATGATCTCAAGATGCTGATTCAGAAGCAATAAGATCTTTATGATATTATCATTCCCAACAAATAAACATATCCACAAGAATCTTCCATCACATTCTCCTGTCTGTTCAGTGCTGAAGCAGATTCCATATCTATATCAATCAAGAATCATCCACATAACAAAACACTCAGAAAACTTCAAAAACAAATCCTATATTAAGAAATAAAGCTACACTACTAGCATACACTACAAAAACCAATTCATTACAAACTAAACAAAAATAAAATAAAATAATAGAGAGATGAACACACAAAGAGGCAAAGTGAGTGGATTACAGCTAATTGGGACCCTTTTCTTGAACCTGAAGCTGAAACTAAAACATGACAGCTTCAATCCAAATACTGTTTTTTTAAGTAAGAATTACATATGCAGAAAAAACCAGCACAAGATAATTAACATGTTCCATTTAGAAAATTAACAACAACACTTGCTTAATTATCTGTATGAAAAAACACAAAAATACACCCCAATTAAATTAAATAGACTAATTAATCTATGGACAGTAACAAGACACTACAACATGTTGAATGTTGATGTTACTTTTTCTTCTTGTTCTTTTGGTTTCATGGTTTGATATCAGAATCATCCCAATAAGGATCCTTTAAATCAGCTGATACCAATGAATCAATGTCTTCCCAGTTCCAATACTTTGAAGCTTCCATGCCACCACTTGTTGCTGGTAATGGTAATGATGTTGGTATCGCCATCGGTATCTCCCATGGCTTTGTGTTAGGAATTATAGGTTCCTGTTCCTGTTCCTGCTCATGTTCTTCCATTGTTTTAAACTCTTGTCCATAGTAATAAACATTGGAAGATGAACAAGTGGTTGTGTCAAAAGAGCTTGAGGAGGTTGAAAAGGGAAAGAGCAAGCTTTGATTTTGATGAGGAGGAATAGGTAAAGTTGAACAAGTAGTACTAAACATGCCAAAATCTTTGCTTTCTACTAATAAGTCTCTTGTGTTCATCATCATAGACATATTCTGTTGTAGAAGCAAAGATGGTGGATGAATTATAGCTTGATATAGAGATGAGTTAGGAATGGTTTTGTGATGATCACTCACATGAAGAGGTGTTTGAATTGAGGTGGTGCCAGTAGTGGTGGAAGAAGTAACCGGTGTGGTTGGTTTTTTGATTCTCTTGTTCTTTCTGCCACCACCAACAGGAACATTGCGTAGAGTTCCACCTTTAGTCCAGTGTCTTTTACAAGCTCTACAAAAATGGCGAGGCTGAGACTTGTTGTAATTGTTATAGTAACAAAACTTAGTGTTTGTTGAGTCACATCTTGGACAGTTCAAATGTTCTGCTGATTGCTGCTGCTGAGGATTTTGTTGCTGTTTTCTCATTAGATGATGAGGCTTTGGAAGTTCCAAATCTTGAGATTCTAATAAGGTTTGTTTCCAATCAAGTCCACTGCTGGAAATCACCTGCTTAGAACTCAAACCCATGTCTTAAATTTTCAGCTCTTGAAAAAACTAGAAAAACAATAAGATCAAACCATGAAAAGAAGGTGAAAAAAACAGCAAAAGTTTAGTCTTTTTATGATCTATATGATTTGGATGTGTATATGTAATGGCTATTTATGATGTTATGAACAAGAAGATGAGAGAAAAATGAGTTGAGGTAGTGTGTGGTGAAGGGTTTTGATACTGTTAGTGTATATGTAGCAGACGGCGCAATCCTATGAAATTTAATGAAGACTATAAGAACCTAGGAGTACTCTTACTTCTAGCACAAGTATTATATTATTATTATTATAGAATTATTATACTAGTAGTAAAGAAGGGAGAAGAGAGAGAGAATACTTAAGACTTAAGGTGATGGTGAGTGGTTAACACGTGGGAGGTTTTAGACCAGTGATAGTGGTGTATGTGTTTTGGTTGTAAAATGGACGTAGATGTTGCATGATGCTATTTTGTGGTATGCTATTATAATTTGATTAGAGGGGGACTTGGCTAGGCCACCAATACAAATGCAAAATGAAAACAACTTTTTTCCCCCTCATGTTTCTAAAAATTCTTTGAAAATGTATTTTGAGGCAGAACAAGAACTGTATTTTTGTTAGGAAGTATACATTTTAACTGCACAAAATTATGTTTTTCTTTTCTTTTCTATACGTATAGATTTAAAGTGATTTTGTTGGTGAAAATTTAATTTAATTTTGAAATAGTTCAACCTATAAAAGATATTAGATGTCATCTATTAAAAAAATTCACACTTCAAATTACATATAAGACGTCCGATAGCAATCCTCAAAACTATTTTTTCGAGATATATGCTAACCTCGACAACACAAGATGAAACAACGTTGTCTCGCACCTATTATTTAGGTGTTGAGAAATACAAAGTTGCTAGTGCAATTTCAAATGATAGGGAGCACATTTAGACTAGATAGAGTTCCACACCTATCTTGGAGTTAGGTACGTTAATTAGTCTGCACTTATCCTTCAACGACCCGATAACAATCACCTGGAGCATACCAGAGTCAAACCATTTTATAAATAGGAGTCTGACCTTTCAAGAATGATCACACAATCAATCCACTCGACTACTATTTGCTAATATACTATTTATCGTACACATCAAAGTATTTTTTATATATGTACTCTTGTATCTAGAAACAACGGAGCTATGAGACAAAAAAGAGATCATGTAGCTTATGGTTGGATCAAACTCCTATCGTCTAACTAAAACTGATATACCTGCACGGCTATATGATATAACTAAAAATGATATACTCCTGGGTATTATTTTAATTAGTTAGTTAGTTTAGACTATATGTATATATGTACATTCAATCTCTCTCTCTCTCTCTCTCTCTCTCTCTCTCTCTCTCTCTCTCTCTCTCTCTCTCTCTCTCTCTCTCTCTCTCTCTCTCTCTCTCTCTCTCTCTCTCTCTCTCTCTCTCTCTCTCTCTTAAAAATAGAATGTTAGTATTCAATTGTAAACAATTCTCATTTGTGTGATTGAATGAACCACAAGAATGCAATAAAGTCACTATGCCAAAAAAGACCTTTAGCAGCGCTTTTTTTTTTTGCCTTTAGTAGCGCTTAAAAGCGCTGCCTAAAGTGGCGCTGCTAAAGGTAAAGACAGCGCTTTTTTTTGCCTTTAGCAGCGCTTTTTTTTTTCCTTTAGCAGCGCTTTTTTCACCCTATAGCAGCGCTTTCATAACCGTTGCCTAATCCCCCTTCATCTCCCCCCTTTAGCAGCGCTTTTTAAAAGCGCTTTCTTAGACCCCCCTTTAGCAGCACTTTTTTAAAGCGCTGTCTTAGACCCCCCTTTAGCAGCGCTTTTTTAAAGCGCTTTCTTAGACCCTCATTTTCCAACCTATAGCAGCGCTTTTTTATGCCTCTTTTTGCCCCTTTAGCAGCGCTTTTTTTAAAAGCGCCGTCTATTCTTCACGATTTTGAATTTTTTTTTATAAAAATAATCACATTTTTTATATATTTTTCAATAAACCTGCTTATAACAAATACATTCCGTGCTTATAATTCAGGTCTTTAGTTCAACAGTTTGGCCTTATATATAACAATTATTTTGGCCTTATTTTTGTGTATTCATCAATTTGCAATATTATACACAATAACTAAAGTATACATTATAATTCATCACTTTGAAATATTATACACATAAACCTGCTTAAATATATTACAACACAGTCCGATCCTCAGAACAAAATCACATATACAATCAATTCACATATAATTACAAATCTGATAACTTTACAAATAGATACAATATCAGATGTCACATTAGGAAGAAATAAACTTAACAATCTTTACTTGACTATTGAATTCTGTATGAGACTGCATGGAGTTCACTATCAGCCACAAATACACAGTTTTCTTCAAGCTTTGTATCATTATTCAATTGAATGTCTTCCAAGCTTAATTCAATAGAACATGATTCATCTTAACAACAGCACAAGCAAAAACAATAATAGATAAGTAACAATACACTTGAACAGGCCCATGTAGATCATTAAGTACTAGATTTCTATGAAATTTTCAGTTCTTATCATTATTTGAAGTTTCTGTTAATCAGATTAATAATTAAATATGTATTTATAGAATTAATCTTCATTATCATTACCTTCCAATATATATTTCCTCATGAAGTACCAAAGCAGCCAATACAGTCACAATCACTGTCACAAGAGGGCTAAACAATGCAGAGAAAAGAGGTCCTCTCTGTGTTATGCACCATGCTTGAAGACAAAACATAACCGCTGATCCCATAATTCCCTACAAAATATATTTATTACAAATTATCTAGGATTATGATGTATAAATATTGGTGTGTATCATCATGAAAAATTACCGCATATAAAGTGGAACCAAATTGAAGTAGAGAATTAATCTTCCATGCATTAAGGTCTGGCTCCAAGAATACTGTCACTACGGCTGATTGTAATGTTGAAATGAAACACATCCAAGCTGACAGTGATAAATAATTAGGATGACTTTTGTAAACTGGAACCTGAAAAATATATAAGGGTGAAATGTTATATGTTTATAGAATAATAGTTATATCATAAGTATTAATTATTAAGATTTTAAAAAACAGTCTCTGATGGTACCGATATTGATTTTGTTATTGATTATGTTATTGACGGTTTTTATGATAAGGAATTAATTATGGTTAATTCACATCCGCAACAACCACTAACACCTGTGCCGACTAAAATCGCGTAAGCATAGACCGTTATTTAAGACTTTGATTGTACTGAAATTAAGTACCTGCAAAATTAGCCAAAATGACCAGGCAACACTACTTGCCAAAAGAAAAACACATCCTAGCAACCAATTCTTATCAGTATCACTTCCAGCCATGATTGATTTTGAAGGTATGATCGTTGCATTTAATAGTTTTGGACCCTTCAACAATACTATAGACAAAGCTCCACAAATACATATCAAAGTCCCTACAATTTTGGCTATAGTTCTCAAACTTCTAATATTTACTTTTTCCATTCTATAAAATATTCAAAGAAACATATTATTATTGGTTTGAATTTTGATTGACTAACAAATATAAGTTAAGTTAGTTATTAATTACCCTACAAAGGCTGCTATTAAAAATGTAACTCCGGGAATAAGATTGATCATGGCACTTGCAATTGAAGAAGACGAAAGATATAGTCCCTCAAAATATAGATTTTGATACAATGTAATGCTGCAACATCAAACATCATTATACATATACAAACATAAAGCTGTATGAATGATCTATACATTCTAAAACTATATCCACATTCATGAAGACACGTGAATTCATTAAATGTTGTGTAACTCGCCAAACAAACTTTATTTCAAAAAAGTTGTCGGATCTATATATTTATGTTTTAAAATTTAATAAATAAATAAGGATTATTTGTGAATTTAGACTATTTCATAGAAAAATAAGGATTAAGAAAAATAAATAAATTTCAAGATTAACAGAAACTTAAAGCTTTCATCTAAATCACAAATAGTGTGAAGTTTCTAAAGCAACATAATCTAAAAAATCATTGAATATATGTGCAGTATTTCCCTTATAAAAATTATTAGTAAAAAGAACTCATATAAGGTGTGGCATTTCAGCAAACACCTTGTATACGGCTAGATATAATGAAAGTTAACATAAGTAAATTCATTGTGGCATTTCAACAAACACCTTGTATACAAAACTCAAGCCAATATCAAACGAGTAATTTTCATCAACGGTATCAACAAAAACAAGTCAAAAACTCAGAAAAGAAGTAACACTAACATCATATAATCCAAAAAAATAAAATACTAAGACATTAATCCAGAAAAATGCAAAATGAAAAACTTCAAATACCGTAACAATGGACGAACGGCGGTAGAATGAGGTGACGATGGAATGACCGGAGGAAAGACGACGGACGGAGGCTGTCGGACGGAGGCGCGGACGGAATGCGTCGATGGTGACTGTTCTAATTCTGAATAGGGCAACGCTCGCAAGTGGAAATAAGAAAGAAGAAGACTGTTCTGATTCTGTGAAAATATTGGAATTTTTTAAATTTATGCTACTTAAACCTATAGCAGCGCTTTTTTTGGCATTTAGCAGCGCTTTTAAAAGCGCTGCTATAGGTCTGTCTTAGGACCCCCTTTAGCAGCGCTTTTTTTGGCATTTAGCAGCGCTTTTAAAAGCGCTGCTATAGGTATGCCTTAGGACCCCCTTTAGCAGCGCTTTTTTTGGCATTTAGCAGCGCTTTTAAAAGCGCTGCTATAGGTCTGCCTTATGACCCCCTTTAGCAGCGCTTTTTTAAAAGCGCTTTCTTTGACCCCCCCCTTTAGCAGCGCTTTTTTAAAGCGCTTTCTTTGACCCCCCTTTAGCAGCGCTTTTTTAACAAGCGCTGTCTTAGGTATGCTATTTTTTGGTTTTTTTTTCATGACCCTTTAGCAGCGCTTTTTTAGAAAGCGCTGTCTTTTGTTGCGCTGCT